GGTAGCCATCCTCCTAACCTCCTTCATGGAGGGCTCCTGAAGAAGGGCCTCTGCCCCAGTTCTTAAGGGGCAGGTAGCACATAGGGAAGGAGATGCTCCTTCAGATATCCAGGTCTTAAGCTGTTTAGGGCTTAGCACCTTAGCACCTCACCTGCACCTTAAATTGGGCTTGGGCTTCAATTGGCAGCCAGTGTAATTGGTAGAGGACTGGTGTTAAATGCGCATACCTGCTGGTCCCTGTTAACATGCTGGCAGCCCTGTTCTGAACCAACTCAAGTATCCAGACCGTCTTCAAGAACAGCACCACATAGAGCACATTACAATAGTCCACTCAGGAAGTTATCAGAGCATGGGTCACTGCTGCCAGGCGCTACCCATCCAGGCAAGGCTGCAGTCAATAAAGCAGCCAAAGCTGGAGGAAAGCTCTCCTCACCACTGCTCCCACTTGAGACTTCAGGGACAGTTCTGGGCCAAGGAGCACGCCCAAACTGCTCATCCTGTCCTTTAGGAGGAGTGCAACACTGTCCAGAACAGGGCTAAAATCACTTATATGGAAGGCTGAATGGTCCAGCAACAGGACCTCCATCTTGTATGGATTAAGCCTCAATGTGATGGCCCCCATCCAGCCCATCACCCTGGCCAGGCACCAGTCAAGGACTGCAACTGCCTCACCTGGACTTGTACTCCACTATTCTGCCAAGAAAAATGGCACCCAGCTTACAAGCATAAGCAAAACTTGATTAAGACAAATGCATTAAAACAAATTACAGCACAGAAATAACAGAATGAGAACAGGAGGAAACACAGCAGGCCTGCCTGCACACCCACTTGCCTGTCTGAAGAAAACGCTTTTTGCCTCCTGGATAACCCAGAAAGAGCAAATCTAGCTTTCTTCAGGAGCGCTGTGGGCAGTCATGGAACGTCTGCTTTTGTGTCGCCACCAAACATGCCTCTGAAGCTGGCAGGATTGACAGACAGGCCTCTCCACAAGACTCTGCAGCCCTGGCAGGCTCACAGGGGAGAAGCCATCTAGCTACAACCAGCGCTTTGGGTTGTGCTGGAAAACGACAGGATCTGGTGAAGTTGTGTTAAGCGAGGGAGCCCCATGCGCCCTTTAACTTGCTCCAACCAACAGCTTGGTCACCACACTCTGGTACCACTGAGCAGCTCTGTCTCTGCGCTGCGTTAGGCATCCAGCAGGGATGTGTGAAAGCAGCGGGAGACCAGCACACACTCTGGAGCTGGCGGACAAAATCAGGATTCGTGGACAGCCGCTCACTCAGTGGCCATTATGGCTTCCTCTGAGACAGGCTGGGAATGAGCCCTGCAGGACTGATCCCAGAATTGCTTCTCCAGTCACTGAAAAAATAATCCCAGCACTTATTCTTACAGGTCTCAATCAAGGGAATGTGTAAACTATTTGCAAGCTGCTCTCATAAATGTATTCCTGTGCTTATTTTATTTGTAAGTGCTGTTTTTATGGAATTTTATTATTTTTATTTTCTGCTTTACCCTGAATAGCACTTTGGGAAGGACTGACTCTTAAAAGTGGCTGAAAAATAATTCTCAATAAATGAATTGTGACAGCATGCATTTAATTATTTCTTTTTATTGTCTTTTAAGATTAATACAATAGTATTCCACTTTCTAACATGTCAGCATGAAGGAGGATTTCTTATTCTTTAATCATTTCCAATATTTCAGTTTTCTCGCTTCCACCCACCAATATTGCAGGTGCTTTGTGCTGACTCATTCTCTGATGGCCTGGAGTGGCCTCATGGATGACCCTTGTATCACTGAGGCCTTAG